TTGCAAAGATTTACAGGTGGACATTTAGAAAACAAAAAGAACAAGCAGAGATGATTTACATAACTTTAAAGTAGATAAGGTCTGCCTTTAAATAATGGAAGATTGTCAATACCTTGGCCCAGTCATTAATCAGATTTGAGAGTAAAGTCAAGAAATCAGAAGAAGACTGGGAATTGAAAGGACATCTATAAAGTAGACAAAATCCTGAAACATCAAACTATATCATTGAATGCTTATATTAGAATCCTCAATGTTATATTTTAAATTTCTACATATGGTTGTGAAAGCTGGATGGCGAAGACAGTGGATAGGAAGAAAAGCAGCTCATTTGAAATATCATGCTGGAGAAGAGTTCTGTGGACGGCTACAAAGACAAATAAATGCCCTAGAGCAGTGGTGGCGAACCTATGGCATTCATGAAAAAGGGGCATGCAGTGTCCTCTCTCCTGGCACATGAACTGTTGTCAGCCCCTCTACTGGCTCACTTGTCTGCCCCCCCTTGCTTGTTTGCCCACCCGCTCCCTTGCCCATCCACACCCTCAACCCCACCCTGAGTGCCCAACCCCCATCCCCCCACCCCGATTTGGGCATGGTCTCTAAAAGGTTTGCCATCACCGCCCTAGAGCAAATGAAACCTTTTTCTAGAAGACACAATGGCCAAATTGAGATGAGAAAACATTATTCACTTAAAAATAAAAATAATATTTAGTAGGGTAGAAGGGTAGTAGGAAAATAAGGAGATTACTTTTCATATAGATTGACATGTTCAAGAAAGCCACATCCCTGAGTCTGTAAAACCTGAGGGGGGCTGTTACTGATAGGATGGCTTGTAGATCTCTCATTCATAACCTCAACGTAAGTAAAAATGTACTTGATGACAATTAACAACAAAATGTTGGTGCTGTAGGAATAAATGATTAGTGTTATAGATGGATGTGCATGACAGAGCATGGGCACCCTTTTCCCCATTTATTCCTGAATTATATGGGGTTAGCTGAGGTATAGGAGTTGGGTACTTGGATGGTCTAGTTTAGGCCTGCAGAAACTGGCAGTAGTAAGGGGCCAAATTTAAATAGACTAAACCTCTTCAAGCCACAGAGAGGTTTTTAGTGCCTCACTCTGGGTTTGTGAAACAATAATATAATATAATAAGACTTTATATTTCACCCCTATCTCCCCAAGGGGACTCAGGGCAGATTCCAACAAACAAGAAGGCAAACATCCAATATCTCAATACAACTACAAATACAAACATAGTAGCCCAAAATAACCCAACATATAAAACAACTTATAACATGACATCTATAGGTTAAATAAAGTGTAACCTATCAAAATTATATCTACATAAAACATGAACATTAAACTTCAGCATTAATTTACAGGAGTCTTTCAGAGTAAGCAACAAAGTAGATTAGCCTCAATTTCCCGACCTCCTCATAGCATTGTGGTTAGTTGCAGTCCATTTCTGAGAGAAACAAGTGTTTCAGCAATTGCATCCTCTGTTCGTTCTTTCCCTTTTCCTCTGGGATTACTCTGTCGACTCATTCTCTTATAGAGAAAAAAACCCGCTAACTCTGCCCTGTTCAGGGGGAAAAACTTAGTTTTGCTATGAAGACCCCACAACAACTTTAACATAACCTAGAGCCCAAGATTCCAGCCTCCCTGAATAAACATCAGATAGCCCTACAAATTTCATCCCTGCTTCCCTTCTCCAATCTAAGTCCAACAATCTCCTCAGTCAGGATTTCAAGCTGAGATCAGCAGTTCCAGCATCCTAACTGACTCTATTGGTGGTGCTCCCTTTGTTAGTTAGTTTGGTAACTTTGGTGCATACAGAAAGGAGCCATGTAGAGGTAAAACACTTGGATGAGGGAGTAGTGGTTTCCAGTTGCTACTCTCTTACTGTTACTGTTATGTTCATGTGGCATTGAATTTTTGCCAGAGTTTGTAAGCTACCTTGAGTCCCCTGCGGAGTGAGAAAGGTGGTGTATAAATGAAGTAAATAAATAAATAATAAATAGCACTATGTATGACTTCCTTCTCTAAGGCTTAGACTCAGAACACCTGCGGGCTGCACCAAATCCTTCTAAGGGTTGTGCAGCCCTGGTCTAAGTGAAGGATGATATTTCTCAAAAGGCAAGTGTTTATAGCAGAACCCTTAGTTTCCAATGCTTTATATAGGATTTTCATTATAGTAATTATTTATAACCCCCATATTTGCACAAGGTTGAGCAAATATAATCAGAAATGTCTATAATTGTAATTTAGCCCTAAAGAGTATACACAATAATATTGACAGTTCAATAAGATTACTGAACTATGGAAGTCATTAAATGAAGGTAGCAGAATGCTGAATATGATTTGACGACATTGTTCTCACTGTTTCAGGGTCACTTTTCCTAGAAAGAATTTTCAAATAAGTAGTTGAGATTCCATTACCAGCTAGTCAATGCATTCAGTATGTGGGTTTTTTATTTTACTTTATTGTACTATTAATGTGCATATTTGTGTTGGGTGCTTTTTCCAACAATGAGGTTTTTTAGAAGTCTTTTTTGGTTCTCCGCAAAAATCTCTATAGAGTACCATTGCTTTGAAATTATACTAGTTTATCATGTTTTGCTTATACTATAGCCATATTTCATAATTTACTGCAAGAGTAGGAAAGGAACTGAGATTAGGTTATACATTTAACACAGAGACTACCTGTTTTAAGGATTTCTGCAAAGGTTACTTCTAGTGTGCCTTTGAAACCTAGAAATTTGTAATGTTTTCTGAGGAATGTGGGCTTCCTCTGTTGCTTATAAACTAGGAAAAGATAGAAGGCCCTAGTATATAATAGATCTCCTTAAATTTAACCACCAAACCTTTCTAAGGAGATAAACTGTTTTCTGTGGTATCTGGCATTGCTTCAATATTAAAAAAGGATGGAGTCTTGGAAAGCAACCATTCTATTTTTCTCCTGGCGTGTTAACTGTGTGTCTATTCCTCTCTTCTAAATCCTGCCAATGTTTATACAGAAGACTTATGATGAGCGTTAGAAATGTTGCCTCTCTGTGTTCAATATTTCATTTGTGATGCTCTAGGAGGTTTTGAGAACTTTCTCATGAGTGTTTATCTGTGTAGCAACTGTGTGACAGCAGTACATATTTTCAAGGTCTGAGCCCCAGTGTGAACTCATTTCCTCTAGAATCTCACCAAAGCCCAGTGATCTTTGTTAGGTTCTTAATTCGCAGAGGCTTTTGATGTGTAGAGAATTCTGAGAAGAAAGAATTTAATATGTCTACTGCTCTTTGGTTTGTCAGGCCTGCAGTGTTGTTTTTTAAAATGTTGCTTCTGTTAATATCTTTGGTGTTTTATCTTTACTTGTTTCTGTTGCTGCATATGTACACACACATGCAAGATAGTGTTCCTGATGCTGTTATGTGCCTTCCCAGTTATTTCTGACTAAGGTGACCCTATAATGGGTTTTTTTCTTAAGCAAGATTTGTTCAGAGTCAGTTTATCTTTGCCTACCTCGAGAATGTGACTTGCCCAAGATCATCCAATGGGTTTCTATGGCCTAGCAGGGATTTAGACCCTAGTCTCCAGGGCCATCGTTCAGTACTCAAACCACTACACCACACTGGTTCTCACACAGGGTAAAGACTGCAAGATCAATTCCAAACATACATTTGATTAATTGTTAAAAACTATAAAGCATCTAAATAACACGCTGAAATGGTCCATTACAAATTATGTTAAAATTCAATCAAGATCCTGCTAAAATGAAAGTTTTCAATGTTTAAAAAAATTGGTGTGATGGGCAGTTGTGTCTGTACATTATTTTTATCCTATGGTTCTCTTGAACTTAAGCCAGATGTGAGGGAGTTACGCCCAAGAAACATCTGGAATTCCACTGTTATCTAGATCAGTGCTTTGCAAACTCTAGATCAGTGTTTCCTAAACCATGGTCTTCCAGATGTTTTGGACTCCAGCTCTCCAGAATCCCTGACAAGTTGAAGTCCAGAATATCTGGAGGACCACATTTTGGGAACCACTGCTCTAAATGAACACTGATCTTAAGTTTGAAGATATATACCTGAGTGCATGTCGTCTATTAGATAGCATGGCCCCAAGATACTTAGAACTTACACCAAGTTCTTAACAGTCGATGGATAGGAGTAAGGTGACAGGAATCCTGGCTCCTACAGCTATTCTCACCACCACATTTTTCACCAGTTGGAGCTTTTAAGTCATCTCTTATATATGGAAACATATATGAAGTTGTTCAACCACATTTTTAGACAAAAGATTTAGCCCAAGTCTTGAAGAACTTAATGATGACTCCTTTATATAAAGCACAGTTCTGTTCTTGAGTAGAAGCCACCTGTGAAAAAAATGTGGTGGTGAGTTTTTCCTTACTACCTCCAGATGTATGTGTGACATATTTTTTTAAAAAAAAGCAAAGGTCATGCTTGCTTGGTGTCTCTTTGCCCTCAGCTAAACAAGGAGCATAAAAAATGATTGTGACTCCTTTTCAGATTTCTGATCTCTTGAAATATATTGTTATTGTTGTTAAGGGCAATTTTTAATTCAAAAGGTTTTATCCTGACTAGAGTAATTTCCACACTGGTAGGTCAGCTGTTGCAGGGATACAGTTGCCTAAGGCCATAAACGAAATAGCATGTTCTCTGACACTTTTTGGCTTTAACCACCTGCACAGTTCGGATCTAAGTTCGTAGTTCTAAATGCTCAATTACAGTTAGAGTAGACCATTGTATCAGAGATTTACATAAATATGAGACATCATTTGTTTGAAATGCAGTTGGATTCAGATCTATGGAGGTATCAATTTGAATTAATGGATTCATCTTTGAATGATACCAGTAAGAATGTAATTTGCACCCTATTTATACATGCATTTTTCAAGTCTATGGCAGCCTTTCAAATGCTCAGGTTATTTCATTTTACTGTATTATACTGATTTACCCTTTTTTTTCCCTATCCTTATCTATAAAAAGGTTCAAAAATCCAGAAACAAGCAATTGCGAGAAATGTTTCCAGATGGATTCAGTATTCATCATGCAGGAATGCTGAGACAAGATAGGAGTTTGGTGGAGAGTTTGTTTTCTCGAGGCTACATAAAAGTTTTGGTTTGCACAGCAACTTTAGCCTGGGGTGTCAATCTTCCAGCTCATGCTGTCATTATTAAGGTAAGAATATGTCTTCTATCTGTATCAAAACATTTCAAAAACACCATAATGTCATATAGTAAAAAGTGTGTTCTGTTTTGCCTTTTCAGTGCTCGCAAAAGAGAAGGTATAGAGAAAGATGGGCTGCTAATTATCTAGCACTGTTGTGGGGGTAGCTTGCTCAACTGACACTCTCCTTTGGGAATTTAGTTGGGTAGTAAAGATTTAAATATATCACAGATTATGAAAGGATTAACTTAAGTACACTTTTGAAATCCTGCTGTATTTGCCTAATTTTGGTCTCCAGCTCATCTGGATTACAGTCATGTGTGTTTATGTTAATTTTTATTAACTTTTCTTCAACCAGGGAACACAGATCTATGCTGCAAAAAGAGGCGCTTTTGTTGACCTTGGAATTTTAGATGTCATGCAGATATTTGGCCGAGCTGGGCGGCCTCAGTTTGACAAATTTGGAGAAGGCACCATTATTACAACACATGACAAACTCAGCTATTACCTGACTCTGCTTACTCAGCAGAACCCAATTGAGAGTCAGTTCCTTGAAAGCCTGGCAGACAACCTGAATGCAGAGGTATGGTTGCTTAATTCTGCATTGCTAATATATTCACTTTTTAAAAACTTATATGAATAACAAGAGACCAAAATCCAATACCGTTTATATACAGTTCTATAAATTTCAGTTTCAGGGGATTGTTTTGTGACACTGGTAATTTTTTATGCAAAATTAATAATCTTCTGAAGAGTGTAGTAGTTTCAGGGTTGTGACACTGTTCTTTACTATGTTTTCTTTAAACTATATGCATTTTCTAAATCAAGATTATAGGTGCCATAGGTTACCATTTTTATGTATTTATAAGAATAAAACAAGTCTGATTTAGCTGCCCGAAAATAGCTTAAAAGCTGCTCAATATATCCAGGCCTTTATCGTTTCACATAAATCCAAGTCATCTATTGCATTGTATTAGTTGCCGAAGGCTTGGTCACAAAGCCATGTTTTCACCTTTTTTCTGAAAGTCAGGAGGGAAGGGGCTTATCTAATATCACTGGAGAGTGAGTTCCATAACCGAGGAGCCACCACTGAAAAGGCCCTATCTCTCGTCCCGATACAGTGCACTTGCGAAGGAGGTGGGACCAAGAGCAGGGCCTCTCCAGATTATCACAATCTCTGAGATGGTTTATAATCTCTGAGATGGTTGATTGCAGGCAGGCAGGCACGCTTTCTAGGCTTGCACGCTACACACACTCAGACTCTTTCCAAGGCACGGAGGCAAGTTCTGTTTCTTACTGTAGAAGTGACACTCATCTGCAGACAGGTTCATGTGCTTTCTGGGCCTGCACGCCACACACTCTACAAACTGGATATGGAGCCTTCAGAGTATTTAGATAACTTGAAGAACTCTGAAATTCTTTTAAATTAACATACTGTTTCAAGGGTAAAGTGAGGTGAGAGTAGCTTTTGATTCACTGATTCTAAAGCCCATTCAGAATCCTGAGTCAGTTTAAGCCATTTTTCCCAAGTAGGTTTTGTGGGGTTGTATGCAAAAAACCAAGTAGAGCTGGGTCTTATTTCCTGTCTTGGCTGTTGTGAAGAGGTCATGGAGTGATGGATGGTTAGGATTTCCATTTTCATTCTGCCCTTCCAATGCAGGATTGTTCTCTAAATCTGACCACTTAGGTCAGTTTGAATATTTTGAGAGAAACCATTTTCACTGTGCGGATGATTAGATTGACATGTCTGAAATAGATTCAAGGCCAGGAAGGTGATAATGTTAACCATAGCATTTGACTTCAAAATGATTCCAGAAAGTGATAGTTAGCAGTAGAGGTAGTCTGTTATCTGTCCCGGGGTATCAATTAGTTCCCTGCTGCCCAGCTATGCCCTTGAGGTGTTTTTCTGCAGCAGCCCCCCCCCCCCCCCCCCCCCCCCCCCCGGCCTCGACTCCCTCCTTCTGAATTTTAAACACGCTCCATTGTGGGCCGGTGTCTACAATGTGCTTCACATTCTGTACAGCGGATTTCTCTGTGCAATATGGTTTATATTGGGGGCCCACTGAAGTGCATTCAGGGATTTAACTTGAACTTTCTTGCAATATTGCTTGATGCACTTTAAATCCTTTAATTCACAGTGCAGCGCGCTTTGACGGTGTGTGTTTTGTAGCCACCACAGTTTGGCTTCAAGGTGCATTAAATGGCCAGAATAGATGTGCCCAAGGTTTATTAAAAGAGGAGAGATGTTTGATTTTGTGCAGTAAATATATCTTTGTGTAAGCTTTTGGTTTGGTCCACACCATTCTTCCTCAGCCTGGCTAGTAAGGAGAGAGCATGGTAAGCAATGAAGAATGGTGTTGGTCAATGGAGCAATATTAGGTGCTACTTGAACACCTAGTGCACCATTCTTCTGTAAGAAGTTTGGCACCATCAGCCTAAAAGTGTTCGAGCTGTTCTGTGCTATAAAACAGCATACATTAACATTTTTACACATATAGGCTTGTCCAACTATGATTGCCTTCAAATCTATTTTACTGTGATGGCTGGCCTTGATACATTAAGTTACAGAATATTGCAAAATGGAGAGATAGAGAAAGATTTAGTGCTTGTTTTCTTACCACATAATGCTGGAGTTTATTTAGAGACCACAAGTGGCCTGCCTGTAGCATGCCGTTTATCCACCCTTCATCACACTGAAAACTTCAGAAGAAAACTTAAGAGAATATTTATTTTTCTTTAGCCATCCCAAAAATGCAATTTGGTTTTGTAAAAGTTTAATTATGCTTTAAAAGAACTAGTGCACAGTAAGCATAAAATTAATCTTCAACGGCCAGGTTCTGACAACCAAGGGTCAATGTTGAAGTGTGTTAATGATTTCTAATAAACTTATGTTAGTGAAAATAGCAATGCATCTCAGCTGGTGTAACCAAAAATGCTGAAAAGCAAAAGTGTGAGGCACTGACAAGACCATGAAACCATCATTTTTTATGTACTCTGGAACACTGAACATGTCTTTTCTTGCTGACATGACAAGCCAGGAAAGATCGGTACTTGTTTGATTACAGAAAATCAATTGTAAGTCAGGCCAATTACAAAAGTCTTTCATTTCTTTTGATTGTTACTTGGTCATTTATCTCTTTCGATTCACATCTCTATATAAATCTTTTCCTTTCCTGCTTGACTAGCTTTTGCAGAAATCTGAAAGAAAGTGCTTTGGAAACATCATCGAAAATTTGAAAGGTTTCTGGTTTTATATTTAACACTTTTAAAAAAGTTGAGCAGAAAACACACTATGGCCAGAATTTACGAGGTCAGTTACAAATGAGTTACACATTTGTTACTGGTTCATATTCATAATCCCTAAATATTAATCAGTTTGGAGAATACATAGAGACATAGTGATTTTTTAAAAATACTGTTACGTTTAATTCTGTTTTAATTTTTGCATATTTGTATATTTTAAATTTTGTGGTAATACTTTTAATGGGTTGTTGTAGGTTTTTCGGGCTATATGGCCATGTTCTAGAAGCATTCTCTTCTGATGTTTTGCCTGCATCTATGGCAGACATCATCAGAGGTTGGGAAGTCTGTTGGAATACTTTTAATGTAAGCCACTTTGAGTCTCCTTCAGGAGAGATAAAGTGGGGTAGTAGTAGTAGTAGTAGTAGTAGTAGTAGTAGTAGTAGGAAGAAGAAGAAGAAGAAGAAGAAGAAGAAGAAGAAGAAGAAGAAGAAGAAGAAGAAGAAGAAGCAGCAGCAGCAGCAGCAGCAGCAGCAGCAGCAGCAGCCTCTGTGAGTCACAGGACTCTGTTTCCCTGTTAATTGGGAAATAGTTAGCAGACATTTACATAAACATGTTTGTGCACGTGCAATCTCCCATGTAAAGCAAAATTGCAACAGACACCTTCCTTCTGGCTGTTGCACCAGGCATTCAGAGATTGATCACAGGAAGGGTAGAAACTAGTACTTCGGTGATTGGTACTTTCTTTTATTGCCTTTCAAGCAGATGGTGTCAAAAAGGCCACTACTTAGCAATTATTGTTAGCAAATGTTTGTGTTTGTATTGTCCCCTGTAAATACTTTAGTACAATATGACTTGAAGTCAATCTTCTTAAATGCACAGAAGATGATCGTTGGCTGGATATTGAGAGAATTTATAAGGACTGATGGGTCTCCCAGCAGCCAAAATCCTCGTCACAGAATATGTTATGTAACTTTACATATGTTTAGCCATGTAGCAGTGGTGCCAAGAAACCCTGTTAGTGAATTGTGAAGGTGCATAAAGGGAAACCAATAAGAATGTCCGGCTTCCTAGTCAGAGACCTAATTCACATTAAACATTTGTTCTTTTATTTATTGGTCAGTTTGCTGGCTCTCCTGTGACATAATGAAAAGCAGTCCTGTATTGGATACAGATGTATGGAACTGCCTTATTCTGACTTCCATAGACCTAAATCCACTTACAAAGATTTAAGTCCCAAATGGAATTGCAACCAACATACTTTAATTTCACAAAAAGCAACACTACCCACAGCAGGTGAAAATCCATGTTGAGAAATATTTTTTAAGGTTGATGCTTAGACTGGAAGGCTTAAGTAATTATTTAATCTCAGAGCTCAATATGGTTGGGAGACTTCCAAGGGCAGCTCTACCCTGAGGAATACATGAACAAATTTCCTTGAGGGCATTTTGAATGGCTATATGGATATATTTCCTCTGTTTCCCCTTTTTGCTGCCCATTCCTTCTGTTTGTCTCTTACTTCTGATTACCATCCCCAACACTGCATGGTCTTCCATGCTTCACACACTACTCTTCTTCCTGATTTTCTATTGCCCCTATTCTCTAGGTCTTAACTCTCCTGCCAGTTACCCATTATCTAGAACTCCTCGAGAAAGGAAGTATAGTTTTGAGTACTGAATTCAATTTTGGATTAAATATATGGAGTTCATGATGATTGATGAATTGGTTGATTATTTGAAGGAGAACTGGTTCATTTTAGAGCACAATCTGGATGAGAATTGGGAAATCCATGGGGTGAACCCATAATTCATAACAGTTGGTTCCTCCCTAAAAGCCAAATCCCTGAATTCTATGGACAAAACCATGGTCATTAAACTGGAATCATAGTGCTATATCTGAGTAGTGTGAATGGGCCCCAGAATTTTATTTGAATGATGTGGAGTGGCACAGCACGGCCACCCCAAGCATCCAACTGACAATGGGGAATTTACTCTAAAACTTATGGAAATATATCCCGAAGCATAGAATTCCTATCTGCATGTCTGAAACACTGGTTCAAAATATGACTGTAAGAAAGGACAATGTAAGGATCATGTAGTTAGGCATCTCGCTGATTATTTCAAATGTTGTGTTTATTAGGTAAATGCATCAGAGGATCTCTCCAGCATCTTTATATAGCAAATGGATACAAATAAGTAGTTTAGAAGACAGCAGCAAGTGAATAAGAAGGTTGCTCAGACAGGACATAAAATGTTAAACAGTTGGCATATGTGTGGTGTATAAAATAGATGGCCATACAGAAGGGTAACATTTGCAAAACAAGCGAACTGGGAAGTCTAAAAA